CTGGCCAGGATGCGATACAGTGCGTTCCAGCAGTGAATCCTGCTGGAACGCACTGTAAGTGGTGTGAATAAGCCCTAAAGTAGCTTTGTATGCTGTAGCATTAAAAGTATCTTTCACTGGAAACATCTGATCTTAATAATTGGGAGGGGTGTCTTTGGTTACATCATGTATACCTGGCCGCTTCCTTTTTTAGAGAAAATATTCAGGACGATGCTTTCAGGGCAGAATCCATGACATCATTGGTACACTGATGAGCTCATCTCTCTGTTCTGCTCTCCTCTCCCGTAAGCATGTTTCCTGTAAACCATAGAGTCATAAAATAGTACATGTAAGATGGCTTTTAGAAGATCTGTTCTCTATAGAACTGTTCTAACAAAACAACATAAATCTATAGATTATTATTAGCAAGAGGTTAATAGGCCTGGTCATGATTGCAGTACCTTATCCATTGCCAATGCTGACCAGCTCACGAGGCAATCAACTAAAATCTAAGGCTGGGCACACACCTTACAACCATCGCAAGACTTTTGTCTTGCGAAGGTTGTAAGGTACTTAAAAAAACGTACGATCTGCCTATCTTGGACAGGCAGATCGTACTTGCGATGATCGCAAGCCACGACCCCTGAGGGGCGGGCTTCCGATGACCGCAATGCCGAAGGGCAGTGTGCGCTTGCGCACACCGGCCCGTACGGCTTTTATCTTACGGACATGCCACAAACCCGCCGAACATCGTGCGATGCTCGGCGGGTTTTTGAACATGTCCGTAAGTTAAAAGTCGTGCGACCTTACAGTAGTAGAGGTCGCACGGCTTCCACACACCTTACGATAATCGTACGATCGCAGGATTTCCCGCGATTATCGTACAATTATCATAAGGTGTGTGGGACCTTAAGGCTACCTGTGAGTATTCTCATGATGACCAGTCACATGACCAAATGCCTAAGCACTAATCGTGTGTTACCAGCTGACTGGATTTAAGTAGTGCAGGCAGAGCCAGCCAATCAGCAGCTCTCACGGTTGGCAGAAACCATGTGATCAATGACTAGGCAAGCAATATAGGGTAGCGGGGTTGGCAGGAAAAGTGTAAAGAACTGTATGAATGGATGTAAACTGAATGCGTTGTAAAGGAAGGATTTTATATAACATAGCTGTGAGTAAATCTAAAGTTGGCCACACATGGAAAAATCTGATTGTACAAACCCGTTTAGGCCCCATTCATGTGGGCTAAATGGGTTCGGTAGCGGATTTTTGTGGCTGCAATGACAGGTAGTTCTGGACAGCTGCAGCCACACGGCCTGTACAAAGCAATGCCCACCGCTACCCAGCTCTATTCTCCTGTGTTGTCACATCCAGTGGTTACCTGCGGCTAGAGACGGATGACCGCCACTGGTCACAGACAGATTGGGTCCTGGGCCGGTCACTTGTCCCTAAACGTTGGACGTGCGGAAATACCCGAGAGTAGAGGTGGGAAGCGGCGGACATTGCTTTTCAGGCTGAGCAGCCGCAGGTGTCCAGAGCAGCCTGTGTTTTCAGCTGCAACAATCAGTAAGATTCATGTTACAGCAATCCACATTACAGGCCCATTTATACCTATACATTACAGTAATAAACCGTACACAACAACACACGGTAATACTGTGATGGAAAAAATGGAGCCTATTCAATTTTGGATGCGTTGTGGTGTGTTTTGACACAACACACGATTAGGGTTGCCACCTGTCCAGGATTCACCCGGACAGTCCAGGATTTGAATGCTGTGTCCGGGGTTCATGGCAGCAGAAACCCGGACACAAGATGTCAGGCAGACAGGGGAAACCAAAATTAAAATAGGGGCTACTGGCCCCCCACTGAAAATAGTCTCAACTGTGATATCTACATATTTACATATGCATAAGCCACGACTCAATCTCCCAAAAAAAGTCAGCACGTCGCTAGAGTGTGTTCGGGTTTCGCTTGAAGAAAAGGTGGCAACCCTACAAAGAAATCACGAATCAGCCCCACTGTTGACCTTTTGAGAAAAAAAGGCCAGTTTCAGGTGACCACCATTATGTCTATAGCTGTGCAAAGCAGGAATAGCCCTCACTGGCAGCATGCTGAGAGAGGAAATTAGTAAGAGAAGCGCTGTTGTCACCGAGAACCTGAGCCCAGCAATACCTATGATTTCTGACAGATGATGATGATGTCTGACAGATACTGGGGGGGGCGGAGACAATGAAGGGAAAAGAAACCGTTTGCCCTCAGTAAAGATGGCCGCCGCTCAGCAACGGAAGTGGCTCGTTGGACAGTTGGAAGGCCCTCCCCCTGCATAGCTTGGTGGGTGAAATGAAAGTGGTCGGGGCGCTTGTCTGGTTGCTGTTACCACTCACAGCACGATGTGTGGAACCGATCTCCATGACCGTCGGTGCCATTGTCACAGGAGTCATCACCTACTATGGCGTGCACTGGTATTCCCCCGATCAGTGCCAACTGGGTGGAAACATCAATGTCACAGGTGAGCCAGGGGAACTACAAATCTTAGCTTTCCCGGTGGTACTGGACCAGATTGCTCTGCTGCATTGGCATGGTGCTGGGATTGAATGTGAATGCCACACAATGTAATGGTACAACCTTCTTCAGATCCACCATCAGCTATGAAGTGCAAAGGCCTGAACGACTCGATAGTAATTGAATGGATTGTTTTATGTTTGTTCTTGTATCACACAGTGTAAAGGAGATTGTACAACCAGATTGTATTGTGTGTGTGGCCAGGTTAAAGGGTACAATCGACACCTGTATATGACCGGATTGAGCGACAGTCTAGCGTCCTGGGTTTGGTGTCTGACCATTGTCAGGGTCTTCCTGTTTTCCCCCATAGAAACTAATGTGACTTTTGGCTAAAGCATTTGTGCACCTGCTGGGCGATAATGGCTGGACCCCCCTATCAGTCTGTTTGATGCCCCCATTAAGACGATTTCACTTCTGTCATATAGATGCAACAGGAAGTGAGATGAAATCTCTACAGAGTGACGGTGTTCTATCGAAATCTCCAACCATCTGACTTCCGGTTTAGTTAGAAGCAAGAGGTTTGGCCGAGAAGGCTGTACTGCACGTGGGGGGCGGGGGAACTTTAACAAAAAAAAGTAGTGTGTTTTTTTTTTTTTTAATGTTTTGTTTTTTTTTTTCCCCTTTTTTTTTTTTTTTTCTTTTTTTTTTTTTTTTTTACACTTAACGTATTGCTATCACATGTGGAGCTAAGAAGCACCCTATGTGATAGCCAATTTACATGACCAGGTCCTCTTTATGGAGACATCAGTGGTCTCCAAGACCTCTAATGTCACTTAGGGACCCCCACAGAAGCTGATGAAGCAGAGATATGCTTCTGAAGCTGGAGAGTGACACTGAATGCAGGAAGTGATGTAATATACATCACTTCCTGCATTCGGGGACGGAGAGTAAGGGTGGGCTCGGGCATGTTCGCAGCTCCATGTGCCGAGCCTGCCAGGAAGCTGACAGCGCGCAGCGCCCACCGCAGGTACTGAGACATTTTCCCGGCCTGCAGCTGCAGAGATCGGGAAATGTCTCCGTGGCCTGTGATTGGCGCTGTCAGCTTCCTGGCAGGCTCGGCACGTGGAGCTACGAACACGCCCGAGCCCACCCTTAACAGAGAGGAGATCAGAGGGAGATCGTGTATTAAACTCCCTTTTGATCGCTTGTCACAGAGCAGCTGTGCCGGTCCCAGCCACACTAGGCACAGCAGATCTCGGGACCGGCAACGGCAGTGACAGCTGCTAATACAAGCGATCGGGCATCTCTAGAAACGCCCGATCGCTTGAATGTAAAGCTCCCGGCCGGCCGTGTAATTATTCAAGCCCTGGTGAGGATGCATTTCACCTATAGCAGCTGTCTTTCCCTTAGAGGACAACTATAGGGTTAGGGCTTTTCCCCATAGTTCTCCTAAGGGTAACGGGGAGCTTTGGGGTCCTCCCGTCACCCAAAGCTCGCGGTATACTGAGACGCCGGAACGGATCCGGACAATTCTGTCTGGATCCAGCCAGCTGCGTGAGTGACAGCTGGCTCTGCCTATCTAGAAACAGAGCCAGCTGTACCCACCCCCATCCGTTCCGCCAGTCAGCGCTGGAGGATCGTGGTCACAGGTCGGCTCAGATTATGAGAGTGAAAATCACTTGCCTCATAATTCTCCTTTAAGGCCAGAGCATTTGGAATTTCCGGTAAGGAGTGTGGCAAGTCATCTGTATATTACTTCCTGTCCAGGAGATGCAACAGGAAGTGAGATGAAATCTCTCCATACTGAGCCATACTGAGGAGAGATCATACCTTTAACAAGTGTCCCCATAGGGAGATTCCACCTCGGCCCCCAGTTCAGGTGACAACTCTAAAAGTTAGGAGTAGCCATCACTTTCTGTTCCTGGGACAGTAGTCACCAGGGCAGGAAGTGAGAGTGAGGCTAGGTTCACACCAGATGCAGTGCGTTCCGGCCCGATTCTCGCCAGAACGCACTGCATCGTATTGTGGCCGGCTCAATTTTGTGGGGCAGGAGGGGGCGTGGCGGGCCATTGAAGTGAATGGCACCGCAGCCACGTCCTCCGGCCGCACGGGATCGCAAGGCACATTGTGCCTGCGGTCCGGTGCGATCAAAATGCTGTAACCTCTATTTTGACTTTCGAAGGTAACCAGACCTAGTACTGACCCTTTCTAGCTGCGTAACTGGAAAAGGTTTTGTCTGGAGTTTCAGTTTAAACCTGCGCAGGTGACAACTGACTCGAATAGTACAGATCTAATTCTAAAACGACACCTACATCCCGCCGGTCTTCACTCCTTTCTTTTTGTTCTGAGGAAAATACGGAGGCTGCAGTTGCTGATTTCTTCACAAAATGCGAGTTGCCCGGCCGTCATGCTGATCCGGTGGATTCTGAATCCATCAAAATAGTGATCAGGCTTTGCCTTCACTCTAACCCAGGGCTGGACAAATCCCAGGAGCCAGGTCGCCAATGCTACTTCAATTCACAGCCGGCGCCTGACTATTGAGGCTTTATCTGTTTTGTGTTTTGATGTCTTTGCCATAAATGGTTAATTGCACCGTCCATGCTTTCTTCCAGCTCTCCAGGTCGACTTCGAGGAGAACATCTTCGGGCAGCACCTGGCCAAGCGGGTGATCTTGAAGGCAGTGCCAGGATTCCTGGAGAACAGAAACCCTAAGAAACCTCTAGCACTTTCCTTTCACGGCTGGACGGGTACCGGCAAGAACTACGTCAGCCAAATCCTGGCCCGCCATGTTTACCCCGAGGGCCTGAAGAGTAAACACGTACATCAGTTTGTGGCCACCCTGCACTTTCCACATGCTGACCTGATAGATGTCTACAAGGTAAAACCCATTGGATTCAGTCCATTCATTTATACTGAGCTGTTCCACCATGGATCTCTTTGTCCCCTGTTGATGGTTTACCCTCACTTCCTGTCTAGGTGACAGTACTGTCTCTGGACAGGAAGTTAGAAATCACCCTAGTGTGGTCTGAGGCAGCAATTCATTAGGAGAGAGGTTTTAACCTTCTGTACAAAAAGTGTTGGCTGGTATTACACCATCTACAAACTACGGAGGGGTGAAGCTTTAAAGGAGAACTATGGGGTCAGGGCTTTTCCCCATAGTTCTCCTTAGGGTAACGGGAGGACACAAACTAGCGTCCTCCCGTCACCCTAGGCTCAGTATACAGCTACTGCTCGCGGTATACTGAAACGCCGCAGCTGAAGCGGATCCCGACAATTATGCCGGGATCCGCCCAGCTGCGTGAGTGACAGCTGGCTCTGCCTATCTAGAGGCAGAGCCAGCTGTACCCGACCCCTCCCCCGTCCGTTCCGCCAGTCAGCGCTGGTGGATCGGATCGGAGCGGGGAGGGGGAATCCAGCCCCTCCCCTGTCACGGCAGAGAGCCGTGACAGGATCGAGAGGTGAGCGAACGCCGGTATGTGTTCGCTCACCTCCCGATCTACTGAGCCGACCTGTGACACTCTCATTGTCACAAGTCGGCTAGAACTATGGCTTATGCGGCTCTGCTCCCTCCGCTGCTTCCTCTAGCGCTGGCTTCGTTGGCACCGCTGATTCTCTCCTGCCTCTCCCGCGGCTCTTCAAGTTCCCCCTTATGCCACCACCGGCCCCAGGAATGGTTACAACTAGGTCTTATTTTCGGGACAGGTCTTATATTTTAGCAATTCCCCAAAATAGTACTGGGTCTTATTTTCGGGGTAGGTCTTATTTTCGGGGAAACAGGGTCCTTATTTTCGGGGAAACAGGGTCCTACGTATATAAAGGAAAAATTACTGAAAATTTTGAGGAAAAATAGTTTTTTCCATTTTGTTTGGAAACAATTATTATCACCCAATTTTTTGGTAAAATAAAAAAAGACGGGGTCACGTCGGGTAAATAGACACCAAACATGTCAAGCCTTAAAATTGTGCGCACCCGCGAAATCGCAAAAAACTACCATGCCTAAAATTGACCATAGGCGACGCTTTAAAAGCTTTTACCGATCATCAGTTTAGTGTTATCAACGATTGATGGGTCTAAAATTATTGCTCTCACTGCGACGTTCGCCGCAATATGTGCGGCGTAATGGGCGCATTCGCACGTATGCGCACCAAACACATGTTTGCATGTATGGGTGGGGACTTTAAAAAAAATATTTTTTTAAATTCTTTTTCATGTGTAACTTTTAATTTATTTATTTTTTGGAAACTTACATTTTATTTTTCCTTTATTTTTTTCTTTTTTTTTTCCACATTGCTATCACATAGAGGGCTAAGAAATCCTCCCATGTGATAGCAAAGAGACGTGACAGGTCCTCTTTTATGGAGACATCAGGGGTCTCCAAGACCCATAATGTCACCTAGGGACCCCCAAAGAAGCTGATGAAGCAGAGATCTGCTTCATCAGCTTCTCTCCAGCGTCTGAGGCTGGAGAGTGACACAAGAATGCGGAAGTGATGTAATATATACATCGGCATGCATGGGGTGGAGAGAGGATACCACTGTTTTCCTTAACTGTAAGTTGTGTTATCTGCCTTTTGTGTGTGGTTTTGCAGGGCTGTGTAAATCTGAGGACTGGATGAACAGAAATGTAAAATATCCACATTATACATTTATTGGCGTGTTTGTCTGTTTGGCTATGGGGATGCATAGTAAGAAGGTGGTCAGCCATAGGTCAAATGCACCAATCAATCAAATCTGAATGATCTCAGAAGAGTCTCAAACTGATGCCATCTAGACAAAGGCCAAAGCCTGTCAACACAGACCCTTACTCCGATTTTACATGAGAAGTGTATATTGTATTGTCCAATCTGAACACACACAGGATGGCCCGCTGATATTGCTTGTTGTAGCCAGCTGCTCGTTTGAATTATTGGGCTGCTTGCTTATCTTTTTTATTTCTCTTTTTTTTTTTTTACTGTGGTTTCACAGGACCAGTTACAGTTGTGGATCCGAGGGAACGTGTCAGCCTGCGAGCGATCCATCTTCATATTTGACGAGGTAGATAAGATGCAGCGCGGTCTAATTGATGCCATAAAGCCATTCCTCGATTACTACGAACACATTGGTGGGGTGTCCTACCGCAGAGCCATCTTCATTTTCCTCAGGTAATTGCAGAAAATCACAATATTGTTTACAGAGGACCGTACGTAGACTTTTATGGGTCTCGTCTACCTCTGACTCCCGGCCGGAATAAGGACAAGGCCTGTAGACTTACCGAGGACTGTATGTAGACTTTTATGGGACTTGTCTACCTCTGTCTCCGGGCCAGGAGAAGGACAAGGCCCGTAGGCTTACAGAGGACCGTACGTAGACTTTTATGGGACTCGTCTACCTCTGTCTCCCGGCAGGGAAAAGGACAAGGCCTGTAGGCTTACAGAGGACCGTACGTAGACTTTTATGGGACCTGTCTACCTCTGTCTCCCGACCGGGAAAAGGGCAAGGCCTGTAGACTTACAGAGGACCGTACGTAGACTTTTATGGGACTCGTCTACCTCTGTCCCCCGGCCAGGAGAAGGACAAGGCCTGTAGACTTACAGAGGACCGTACATAGACTTTTATGGGACTCATCTACCTCTGTCCCCCGGCCAGGAGAAGGACAAGGCCTGTAGACTTACAGAGGACACTACGTAGACTTTTATGGTACTCGTCTACCTCTGTCTCCCGGCTGGGAGAAGGACAAGGCCCGTAGACTTACCGAGGAACGTATGTAGACTTTTATGGGACCCATCTACCTCTTGTCTCCCGGCCGGGAGAAGGACAAGGCCCGTTGACTTACAGAGGACCGTACGTAGACTTTTACGGGACCTGTCTCCCGGCCGGGAGGAGGAGGCCTGTAGACTTCTTTGGGATCCTACGGGGCAGGGGCGGCCAGTCCCACAACAGGGCTCCGTTCAATGCGCTTAGAGTACGACTCATAATTTAGACAACAAGAACAGTACTTGAAAAGACCAGCTGCATCCAAAGAAGCACAGGGCAGGTCAAACCACACCATAATGGTCATCAACCTTAAACAATTAAAAGAAGCAAAAAAAAAAAGTATATTTATTTATATATTTCTCCACATTTACAAGCAGAACAGCTAAAGTGGCATCGACATCGGCCAGGAGGAACTTTGTTCTTTTTTTAAAAGAAGACCTTCATCACAAGGGGCCCTCTTTTCCTATTGGGTACTTGCCTGGGTTGTGTACCTTGTAATAAACCCCTGTTATTGCTTACCTGTACAATATGGCGCATTATAAATAAAGGGTTATAGTAGTAGTTAAAAGGGTCAGTCCACCCTGTTTTGATATTCCCGTTTAGGTAGTGCTGGATACCTGGACCACCTGTCAGTTTCTTATACGTTTTAGGTACTCTGTTGGCGAGGTCTGCACACTTACTGTTGCCTTTTCGGAGGATCCCGCTCTTCCTGCTGCATTCATTTTTTTTTTTTTTATGGACTTCCACGTGGCCTGGAACAGAGTCATGAACTATGGCAAAGAGATCGCATTGCTGTATCCAAAACATATAAGAAGATAGGGGCTTAGTCAGCCATCCAGGCCCCACCTATATCTTATTCCATTTGGGTAGATGGACCTTTTAACAGCATAGCTATTGCCGTTGCAGAGCAGAGAAAGTTCCTTATGTCCTACTTGTATGTAGAACTACCGATACTTCTTCCTGATTCTTGACCTCCATTTTTCTATGCTTCAGTAACGCTGGAGGGGAATACATCTCGGAGTTGGCCTTGCATTTCTGGAAGACGGGAAGAGAGAGGGAAGACATCAAGCTGTCTGATGTGGAACACCATTTAGCCCTCTATGCCTTCAACTCTAATGATGGTGAGTATAAAAGCAAACAAAATAAATAAATGGCTCAATAAAGGAATATTTTCCTATAGAAATAAATAGTGCTAGTTCCATGAAATATTCCTCTAAAACCCCATGATGTCCCATGATCCTGCTCATCGGCTTCTTAATTCCCAGGATGCAGCTTATGAGGACGGATCACTGCAGAGGGACTAGTTGGTTACATGTGATGTGGTCATGGGAGAGAGGTACAATGCAGGCAGTCAATGGATGGTTAAAAAAATATATATATATTGGTAGGTTGCTGGGCACAGATGTGTATGAGGAATGAGTTTCAACTCCACAATTTTTTTTTTTTTAACAATTACATTTTATTAAATTTGGAAGGTTATTAACAGACAGTTCTGTATTGCAGTATCCCAATCATAGGAGTATTAAAGAGAATTGCAGTGAGTATACTTGTAATATACAGAATAGACATGGAAAGGTAACATAAACGCAAATTCAGTACAAATTAAACAAGATGGGGAACTCCACAATTGTAAAGGCTGCTCTCTGTTAACCAGGGTGTTCCTGGGGATCCCTGGAACTGTCTGAAGGGTATATATAAATGATGAGAGCAGCACAAATCAAGTATGAGTCCAGTAACGAGAAGGTCAGAAGTATAGCCCACTTGTTTCTGGTTACTTGTTCCTCTTTCCCACAGTTGTCCAGTATTATCTTCAGGTGTTGCCAGCATATAAGCCCTGATGAAGGATCTGTGAGCCCCTGGAACATGTTTTCTATACCTTCTATCTTATCATTATGACTAATAACTAGGGCTGTGGAAATTTAAAGATTAATTTCTCGATTAATCGTTAAACTTTTTGACTGTGCGTTAATAATCGATTAAAAAAAATTTAGATTAATCGAACACAAAATATTTAATCATTACCAGCCCTACTAATAACCCTTCACTAGACTTATGCTTGATTTGTTGCGCTCTCAAAACTAGACGGTGTGGGAGAGGTAATGATGTGTCTAGAAAGTTCCCCCTCCACTGCACATGCTGCACCGTAGTGGCACAGTCGCTGCCATTTTATTGTGGTGCCACCACTACAGCCTTCCGGAACTGTTACCTCAAACGGGAATGAGATTTAGCGCCTGATTTACCATGAATTCTGACCGCAGAGCAGTAATGTCAAAGTTCCGTAACCAGTAAGATTTGCTACAGATGAAAAAAAAAAAAATTGCCTTGACTTCCACTTTAAAGTGATTTGTTCTACCAGCTAGGTTGAATACATTTTGTTTATCTTTAAAGTTTTAGGGCTTCCACACACGGGCACATTGGTGTATTCAACATAGCACATAGTAGTTGCAGGCTTTCTGCGTGTAAGGCAGGGGGTAGGCAACCTTGGCTTTCCCAGCTGTGCTGGAACTACAAATCCCATCATGCTTCTGCCTCTGGGAGTCATGCCTGTGGCTTGCAATGCCTTATGGGATTTGTAGTTTCAGCACAGCCGGAGAGCCAAGGCTGCCTACCTCTGGTGTAGGGAATATGTCTGTACGCTATACTGTATGTGGGTTTGCGCGAGTAACCAGTGTAAGCTTGCATACAGCAAGTCAGTTAATTTATAATGATTTTGTTAACGATGTTCTTGGATAATTCTTATGGTAGTGCACACAGCTATAGTAGTATACACAGCTATAGTAGTACAACAGTGGGGGATCTGCTTGTGCTCATTTGTATAAACCGTAAACCATGTGACCCAATGCTATTATTGATTTGAATCCCAACTCCAGACACTCCAAATAATTGCACCACTGAGTAATGTAGAATCTGCTGATCAACATTCTGCAGACAGTTTTAGAATACATTCATCTTGTCCAATCAAGCTCCCATAATGCTTTGCAGGCCAGCTCAGCTTGAAAGCCACTAATCCATAACAATCATCATTTTTCCATAAGACTCATTCTTTTCAGCAATGATTTGAATAATGAATATTTAAAGTAACACAAATGTTAACTCAGGGAATCAAGACCGTCACGTGAGTGCATTAAAACGACACCTCCCAGCATTCTGTATGTCAGTGTTGTGTACAGGAAAATAATGTTTTCCATGCTAGCCCCTTAGACACTGGGAAGCTCCAGTGTGACAATGCCCTTACTTGCACTGCCTAGGGAGGTTTTTTTTTTTAGTTGTGGCACCCTTTAAAACTATGCATTATCTTGGGGCACTCTGGTCTAAAATGTAAAAAAAAAAAAAGTAAATGTAAAAAACGATGTGTGGTTCCCCATAAAAATATATACCAGACACCAGATAGGGGTCTGGTAAGGATTTTATGGGGAACCCAGGCCACAGCCCACCCTGGATTGGCATCATGTGTTTCCATGGCACTGTTGCCCAGCTGGCCTCCACTATTTAGATGCATGACATTGTAAAAAAAAATAATTAGGTACCCCTGACAGTCAGGAGACAACCCAGGGTGCTGCTGCACTCTGGTAGAGAAAGGCTTCTCTAGGGGCAAGCAGTGAGCAACAGGACTCTACTGCATCCGGCACTCCTTAAAGGAGAACTATGGGGTTAAGGCTTTTCCCCATAGTTCTCCTTCAGGTAACGGGAGGACACAAACTAGCGTCCTTCCGTCACCCTAAGCTCAGTATACCGCAAGCTGTAGCTCGCGGTATACTGAAACGCCACACCTGAAGCGGATCCTGACAATTATGTCTGGATCCGTCCAGCTGCTTGAGTGACAGCTGGCTCTGCCTATCTAGAGGCAGAGCCAGCTGTACCCGCCTCCTCCCCTGTACGTTCCGCCAGTCAGCGCGGGTAGGGGGGAATCCAGCCCCTCCCCTGTCACGGCAGAGAGCCGTGACAGGATCGAGAGGTGAGCGAACGCCGGTATGTGTTCGCTCACCTCCCGGTCTACTGAGCCGACCTGTGACAGTCTCATTGTCACAGGTCGGCTAGAACTATGAGGTGAGTGAAAAGCACTCGCCTCATAGTTCTCCTTTAAAGACCCTATGCACGTCACAAAGTTGCTCCTTGTAGTTCACAGACCAAAGGGGCATGTTCAGCATAGTGAAGCAGGAGGAAGTGTTGACCCACCTAGAGTACAAGGAATCAATGGACCATATTAGTCCCGGTTTTGGTAGATGAAATCCAGCATCTTTCCTGCAGCTGTAGAATGAACAAGCACCTTCTCTGCACAGAAGTGAATGCAGAACAAGTTATAGTTTTTGCTGTGCAGAGATACTCCGGGTATACAATCTACTAATAGGTTTATTTGTTCACTTTTCTTGCTCATGTTTCTGAGTACATCAGGCCACACAATATAAAATCTTTTGGTTGCGAGTGCTTTGATGTTCTGCGAACACCTAATTCTGGGCGCATACTACAACAATCCAGGAGATATCAAAAGTCAATGTCTCAGCAGGTTACAAACACTCAGAAGGCAGTAAATGTATGCACAGCCCTGATCATTTAGAAATAAATGATTTGCTCTTTATCCCTGCATGCCCCTTTTGCTGCAGCCTCCTGGAAGCACTGGGAGGTAGAGATCTAAAGGAGGGAGGTTGCACAAAATGAGTGTCAAGAGTTTGTAGACCAGCACATTGACATTCTTAAACACTTGCTCTGTCTGAGAACTTTTTTTTTTTTTTATAAGGTAAATTGAGAAGATTTTCCGACGCAGTATTGTATGTCCTGCATTTGCAGTACACTGATTATTACTTAGCTGTCATTGAATTGTCCTAATTGCTGTGTTCCTTCTAAAATGCCCTTTTGTCTCCATCTACAGGCGGCTTGTGGCACAGCAGCCTGATAGCCAAAAACCTGATCGACTTCTTCGTACCATTCCTGCCAATGGAATTTGAGCACGTGAAGATGTGCGTGAGGGCGGAGGTTCGGCAGCGTGGCTTTCTGGAAGATGAAGACCTGATCAGCACAGTGGCCAAAGAGATGACTTATTACCCCAAGGAGGAAAAGATTTACTCTGTTAAGGGGTGCAAAACTGTGTCTGCAAAGCTCCAATATCATCTTTGAAATGGTATTTGAAGATCGAAGAAAGGGGAGGTCACCTTTAAGACCATCATTGGACTCCATACGTATAGGAGGAAGGCAGCTGAGATGATGGCGTTTCTCCTTTTTTTTTCATTGCTATGCAATTAAAGGAAATTAGATTGATGTCTGTGAGTGGAAATCTCCAGTCACTATAAGATGAAATCAGTGCATTTTGTTGGGAGCTGGAATCTTGGAAGCTTTGTATCAAACCACTGAACCAAGACCAGAGGACCTTTGCAAAATCTCTTGAAGGAATAATCCACCAAGAAAAGATAAATACACTGTCAGTACATATGCCCAGAGGATTTCATTACTTTGCATACCTTTCAATCCACCCCTTTTGGTGCCTTATGGAGGCTGAAAATAATGTAGGTTTTGGAAACTCCATGCCATTGCTCCGCCACATGCCAGAGCTCCTGCTCTTTGGACTATTAAGCCTTAAACTTCAGCTTATGTGTACAGCAAGCTCCTGCATACCGTTTGCAAAGCTTTATGCCAGTGCTTTTGAAGTTTTAAACCAAACTTTCACCTCTAGTTTGGGGGTGTTAAACATTTAGTATGAGTGCTAGCTCACACTTTAAACCAGCTGCTAGCAGGTTTTCAACAAGTTTCAGCATCACTTGAAATTTCCTGAAAGCCTATTTAAGACTGCAGTTAAAACTCATATTATGATTATGATAAGGTTGCTTTGAGGCCTCGTTTAGATAAGAGCCTGCCTGTGAGAAAGAAACCGCGGCGGATCATTTTTAACTTTTGGTAGAG